CGCCTGTCCTTGACGGGATGTTTTCCCGTGTGTCCGTGTGCTCAGGGACTCTCCGCAGCGCCCGAGCCGGCGTGCCAACCCCGACGCGTTCTGGCCCGGGCGGGACCTGGAGACGGTGCGGCTCCTGCTGCCCGAGACGGGGCGCGTCCCGGAGGAGGTCCTGTTCCGCCCCGTCCGCCGCGGGCCTGCGCCCCGTCCCAGTAGCTGGCCAGCCTGCGCCCAGGGGCTCTTCATCTCCGGGGACAGCGTGGCGCACAAGAGCCCCCTGCTGCCGTAGACTCACCCACAGCCCCCGGATTCCCCTTTCCCAGAAGCCTCACGCGAAACCCTCGGAATGCCCTCTGAGCAGCACTGGCCATTGCACACAAGTCCACGCCTGTGGTGTCCCCTCGGACAGCTTGCCACGCAGAATCGCAGGTTTTTTTGTGCCATGCCTGTGATTTTACCAGGCTTTTAACACACATTTACCCCTCCAGGGAGTATTCTCTGGGCTTCGCCCTGGCTTTACCACGTGTCTGGACACGTAAACCCATGGTCTTTCCCTGATACACCCCTGTAAACTGTCATAACGGATGTATGTCAGCCTTTGGAAAGGGAGTCTGCCTCAGTCCCCTGGGTCCGTACCTGCTGGTGCTGCTGTGTTGGTGGCTGCTCAGGTTTGTGCTCAGTGTTGTGTCCGGCACATACTATTGACCCTGTTTCCATGGCTGCTCGATGCTGTAAAGCTCTGTGTGCAATACACCAGTGCATTCTAGGTGCAGGTCTCTGACAGGGCCGTAGGGTTTAATGTAATTTCATACATGGCTTAATGCTCCAGAAGGACTGAGTCTCCTGAGCATTTAGCCCCCAGCACGAACCCCTGATCCCCCTCCCTCAAGCAGCAGTTTCATGTACTTTAATTCTGAAGGTCAGCCTTTTTGTTGAAAGTGTGTATTTCTCATAAAATCACCCGGAACGGCAAAGAGCCTGCGAGAACAGGCACTGCGAGCTGAGAGCTGGACCCCGGACCGACAGGATTCCTCTCTGTGCTTTGTACTGCTTCAGAATAAAATTTACAACAGAGCTGAAAACCTCACAGTGCTACATTTTTTTAGTTCATTCGTTTCAAGTTGCTTACTTTAGGTGTTTAAGTTTAAGCATGAATAAATCTGTTCACGAAGGTACCAGCATTAATCGAAAACTTACAGTGACCAGGCTATGCATTTGGTGAGGAAAACACCTTAATCGTGTTGCTGTGATTGCTGAGCAGTTTTTTTTAAAGGGGTTTAATAGTTTACAGACAAGCGGCAGAGAAGCTCTTCACTTGCGGCTGTAGTTACACTCATTGTTCCGCGAGGGGGGCCCTGTGATTTCTGACGCACTGCTGTGCGTGAGAATTTGTCCTCAGTGGAAGTATGTGGATGAATAAATCTGCTTAAAATCAATAAATCAATTAATCCGTCAGACAACCCTGAGAGTCCAGTCACCTGCATCGTCTGATTCTCAGTCACAGGGGTTTCCAAATTCTAACACAAGGGGTTTCTGGCCCTGGGGAGCCCACAGCATCTCGTCCGTGTTGGGGTTCATAAACGAGCCCTTCGTCGATTGCGTTTCGCTTCGACTCTTCAATTACACGTGCCAGTGTGTCTGTCTGTCTGTCTGTGTGTGTGTGCGTGTGTCTGTGTGTGTGTGTGCGTGTGTCTGTGTGTGTGTGTGACAGATCTCAGGACCGACCCTGCGGACAGCTCGCTGTCTTCGGTATTTGTATACCAAACAGGCTCTCCTTTGTCACCTTTCTTAAGTGCAAGGTCTTATAAAACCAGCAGGGGTGACCGGTCTGGCGTCCCTACAGTACCCCCTAAACTTCAATGGGAGGTGAAGTGGGTCCTCTCCTGAATAACCATCATCATCATCTTCACACTTACACAGCGCCTTTCTGGACACTCCCCTCCACAGCGCTTCACAGGTCATGGGGATCCCCTCCACCCCCACCAGTCATCTCCCCACACACCTGCTCTCAGTTCAGAGAGCCGGTTCAGAGATGGTGATCATCAGGAGGCCATGACTGGTAAAGGGATCAGGGTTCGGCACAGAGCTGGGCTGGAAGGAGCGCAAGCAGGTGACGTAGAAAGGGCGAGCGCAGCTGTTTTCCTCAGTGACCCTCCGCCGGTCCCGGGACAGCCCTGCACATCTGTCAGCGTGTGCCACGCTAGGAAACGGGGGAGTCCCCTACCTCCTCTGATCTGCACAACGGAGCTGCGTGAGCACCATGGCGTCGCCGCGGCGAAAGGTCGTTTTATAAGGAAAAAAAAAATCCCTTACGGGAGGTTTTGGCTTTAAAGAGTTAATTGCCAGGCACGTACACGTAGGAGCTAGTCGACACCCCCCCCCCCCGCGCTTGTCGAATGGCATTTCCCTAGCAACAGCTGCGGCGTCCTCTCGCTTGGAAACCGAGATTTCAGGAACAAACCGCTCGCCGGGTAAGTTGTGGAAACGGGGACTTTTGTGACTTTTTAAAACATCTATATTTTAATATTAACACAGACATTAGTCGTACCGGTGAACTGTCAAATGTGTCAGGTACCGTACTTGACCCGCAGGAGAAGCCCTGGCGGTAACAGCCCGTCGCACTGGAGTTTTGATTTAGTTGCACTGAAGCTGAAAGAAAATCAAAACAAACGACGCGGACAGGTTTGCGAGGGGCGGCTCATGGCGACAGACACCGGTGCTGATATTATATTCTGAGATTGCTACTGCCGTAGTGTTATTTTTTTCGCCAGAAAGGATGACTTTATGTTAGTGTCTGTATCTCCGCCGGGTGTTGGTGATCTTACCGGGAGCGAACGGGCCGGTGTCGTGTCTGCTGTCCTGTGTGTGTTGTAGCCTGAGGAACATGGCTGATGATAAGGCCATCGTGACTGGGCGGCAGGGTGATGCAGCAGTCAGCGTTGTAGCGCCGGGGCCCTGGGTTCAGTTCCAGACCTGGGGTGCTGTCTGTGTGGAGTTTGCATGTTCTCCCCGTGTTCCTGTGGGGCTCCTCCCACAGCCCAGAGACAGGCTGGTGGGTTAACTGGCTTCTGGGAAAGGCGGCTCCGGTGTGTTGCTTGCCCACAATTGAGGAAGTGATGAGAAAACAGATGGATTATCCACTCCTAAAAGTGTATAATAGTGAATTTATTTTTTTTTTCCTGCTCAAACGTTTGGGATTTTGTTCCACGAATGAAATGCAGTAGTTAGCTGGCTCCTGCTACCTCAAGCGGTTCACAAAATAACCCCATTGTTATTAGGTCCATCAAGGGTTCGATTGTGTAGCTGAGAGCCCTGGGAGAAAGCTGGGCCCGGCAGGAGTGATTCTCACAACGACAGACCTGAGCAGGAAATTTGGCCAAAACGCCCTGAGATTTTTAATGACCACATAGGGTCAGGACCTCAGGTTTTGGTCAGGACCTCAGGTTTTGGTCAGGACCTCAGGTTTTACGTCTCATCAAGGACGGCGCTTTTTTACAGTATAGTGTCCCCATCACTATACTGGGGCATTAGGGCCCACACAGACTGCAGGGTGAGAGTGCCCCCTGCTGGTTCCACTGACACCTCTTCCAGCAGCAACCCGAGCTTTCCCAGGAGTCTCCCCTCCAGGTACTGGCCAGGCCCACACTGCTGAGCTCCAGCGGGCTGCTAGCTGTGATGTGTGCTGGGTGTTACAGCTGCTGGCTAAATGGCTCTATAACTGAGCGAGCGGTGCTGACTCACCGCCCCTGGTTTCAGCTTGCTGGGGTGCCCAGGCCAGGGTGGTCAAGGGCCAGAGGTGTATCACTGCGCCTTTGTCTGGGGACTCCCCGCAGGTGTGACCCCAGATGGAGGAGGCAGACGTGCGGCGGGCTCGTGCCCCGGGCTGGGCGGGGCTGCACCCCCACCCCCCCCGGGGGCAGTCCTCACCCCGGGCTCTCGGCGGGCTGCCGGGGTCCGGCCACGGCCAGGGCGCGAGGCGTCCTGCGGCAAGGAAGTACCCTGTCGTCGAGCAGAGAGGCTGCTACTCCGACCTGCTCTCCCAGGCGGCGGCCCTCCACCTGAAGGTAAACGGAGAGAGGAGCAGCAGGCTCCCAGTGCAGAGCGGTCCGAGCCGTGCCGGGTTTTAGTTTTACCAAGCTGCAGGCTGGGCTAGACAGCCGTCCAATCTCTCTCTCTCACTGAGCCACGGTGTCCCTGTGGCGGCGCCATTCCCAACCCACAGAGCCGCGCGACGTCTGTGCACATCCTCGAGGTATCGCACCCTTGCTGATTACCGCGTCAGATCTTCACTTCAGCTCAGTCTATCTGTCATGTGCGCAAGTGCAGTGAAATGCTTGTGGGCTTGTGTGCTCCGATACAAAGACACTGAAGGAATCACCAGATACAACACAGAACAGACAAAGACGTACAGACGAGGAGCAACACGCAGCACGTCGCCTCTCTTCGGCGCCACTTTTCCCACTGTCACATTTCTGTCACCTTTTCTGACGCTTTCAGTTTGCTTCTACATAAGAACCTAGGAAAGCCTAGACGAGAGGAGGCCATTCAGCCCCTGCTGTATGGAGGAGGGAAATCTGGGAAGAAATAAAATTACAGAACACACTAAAGATGTTTTGTCCTTCCTTTGTTTTGTGGATATTTTTTTTCCTTACTGTAAAGCAGTCTGAGAAGCTCCTTTTAAAGACTATATAAAATTATATCTAGCCTTATATTTACAGTGGGGTGAAAAAGTGTTTGCCCCCTTCCTGATTTCTTATTTTTTTGCATGTTTGTCACACTGAAATGTTTCAGATTATCAAACAAATTGAAATATTAGACAAAGATAACACAAGTAAACACAAAATGCAGTTTTTAAATGAAGGTTTTTATTATTAAGGGAAAAAAAAAATCCATACCTACATGGCCCTGTGTGAAAAAGTGCAAAAAAATAAGAAATCAGGAAGGGGGCAAACACTTTTTCACACCACTGTATATTAAAACACCTTATATTTATATTGATATAAATATATTGATATCTAAAAAACTATCTAAAATGAAGTTTATTATTACTGTGTGTTGCAGTCATGTCTGCAGGGACCCGTGACGCAGCAGAACTTAGTGAACCAGTCTGGCTACGAGCAGCACACTCCGAAAGGTGAGGAAGGCTGGAGCCTGGCTCTGCTGGTGTGAGCAAGGGCTCATGGGAACATAGGGGAGGTTAGCACACGCGAAGGACAGCGGGAGGCTTCTGGGAAAACTGGCCCTGATGTAAGTGTGTGCGTGTCTGTGTCTGTGTGTGTGCCCTGCGATGGACAGGCGTCCTGTCCAGAGTGTGCCCCGCCTGGGGCCTGTTGCTTGCTGGGATAGGCTCCAGCAAGAGGCCAGGAGGTTGGAAAACAGAAGGGTGGATGGAAAGTACACCATTGCAAGTGGACAGCTTTCAATTCCCAGCTCCTTGTTTTCCAGTGACGACCTTCCACAGCCCCCGGGACGTGCTGGAGCTGCTGGACGCGGAGAGGCACGGGCCCACGACGGAGCTGGTGAAGAAGACGGATTTCTCCCTGAGCGGCTACATTGCCAAAGTGCAGCTGCCGTACCAGGCGGTGCAGGGGCAGTGCCCACGCAAAATCGAGATCGAAAGGTGAGGCCGAGACCCGGGCAAAGATCTGAGCCAGGCCACTGCTGTCCGGGGGGTATTACTGGAGAGCACCAGAGATCCAGCTGCGTTTCCTTTATTATTCAAAAAATGAAAGGGAGTAAAAACCACAGGTCTCCTGGTCAGAGCATTATTTTGAATTTTAAGTTCGTTTTCTCTGTTAGAAGGAATGGAAATTTGGAATTTGACTCCAGGGCAACACGGTGGCGCCGTGCTGGAGCTCTGGGTTCAATTACAGACTTGGGGTGCTGTGTGTGTGGAGATCGCATGTTCTCCCCATGTTCTCACGGGTTTCCTACGGGTGCTCCGGTGTCGTCCTTTTGTCGACAGACCTGCTGGTGGGTTAACTGGCTTCTGGGAAAACTGTCCCCGGTGTGAGTGTGTGTTTGTGTGTCCTGCGATGGACCGGCGTCCCGTCCGCCTTGCATGTGTTGCTCGCTGGGATAGGCTGCTGCTCCCCCGCGAGTTGGAAGAAGCAGTTAGGAAATTAATGGATGGAATTTGGAATGATTTCCTGGAATTTTATGGGAAAACCATTCCTGAGAGCATGGAATAACAGACTTTTCCACTCTTAAAACAATGGCGTGTGCTTGTACTGTGAGGCTGTAGTATTGGCGGCGCTAGTGCTGTACGTCTGCTGGATCCCTGCAGTACAGCCTCCCCTGTCTTCCCTGTCCTAGACGGAGGCGGGAGTACCTGCGGATGGACGTGGCCGCGCTGCTGTCCGAGATGGGGATCGACTCCAACCAGCTGATGCCCCGGCGCCCCGGCTCTGGAGACCACCTGACCGAGCCCGAGCAGGGCTTCCCGGCCGCGGCCAGCTACCTGCCCCTGGAGGTGTGGTCCGCTCTTCCCCCTCGGGGGTGTCCAGTCTGAGCGCGCTGACCCTCGCCCCGCTCTCGCGCTGGCCCGCCCAGAGTGCGAGAGGGGGCGCCCCCTGCTGCGAGACCGCTGCATTGCGGTGTGTCAGATTCTGACACCTCACTCGCGCTGGAGGCAGTTCTCAGAGAAGGCTGGCGGGCTCTGCTGTCAGTGGATGTTCCTGCCTTTCCCCCAGAGCAGGCCTCGAAGAGTGCGGGATTACAAAACTGGGAGAAAAGATTTCAAAGTTATTGGATCTGTTCCCAGTGCTGAAGGTTTTCTCAATGACCAGAAAAGCACCCTTTTTCAAAAGTCCAGCAAGAATAACTGGAAACTGTCTCTCTGTGGTGGTCCTAGCTAGTCTTTCTAAGGGCATCGGAGTTGTATTTCGTTTTTATTCAGTTTGCACCTTTATAATTTTTCTTTTCCAACTGTTTGTTGCACCTCTGTTTTGAGGTTTGTTTGTTTTTTCCGTCCAGCTGTTAACAGCTTCTGTAGAGTAGTTCCACTGAGTGTTAAGTCACCTGGTGTGAGACGAGATGTCACGGTGCTGTCTCACTTGGGCCAACAGGTGTTTGATGACGAAGAGTTCGACTGCCGGACGCCTGGAGAGTGGCTGTCCATGGGCTATGAGCCGGGATCACCTGACCGAAAACCCATCCCAGCAAAAGCCCTTCTCCCTGATGACGACCTCCTCGGACACGGTACTGCTGGGGTTTTTTGCACAAATGCGGGAGGGAGGTCAGATCCTAATCTCTCCGATGTCTCGCCTCCTAGACATTCCTCTATGCGTCTCTCTCGCACTCGTCCTGCTGCCACATCTGCACCCCTGGAGCAGCTCCCTGGCTCATTCCTCGTGAGTGGTACTGCAGCTACTGCTACAGCTCCTGCTGTGACTACTGCAGCTACAGCTACTACTCAGCTGTAAAAATGTAGTTTTTCATAGAAAGTAGGGAGGGAGGTCAGATCCTAATCTCTCCCACATCTCGCCTCCTGGACTTCCCTCTGTGTGTCTCTTTCGCACCCCTCCTACTGCCCCATCAGAACCCCTGTAGCAGCTCCCTGGCTCATTCTTCACGAAGAGAGTGGGTTGATCCAGGCTGCAGTTCTCTCAGCTAGGAGAGTTACACCAGGACTCCTCTCATACATTACATCTCTAATGTTGCACTTTGAAACTCCCCCGCCTCCTGCATTGAAGTCTGGGTCGCCCCCTGACCCGGTGACAGACAGACAACAGCCGTCGCCTCCTAAATCAAGATGTGCAAAGGCTGGGTTTAAGGAAGAAGGGTTTTAGAAGTGCCGTCGTGTTCTGAGCCTGAACTAGGTCCGGGGTCACCACAGGCAAGCTTGAGGACTGCTCAAAATTTAGGGTGACTAAAATAGAGTTAACGATGTGAGCAGATCTCAAGTCTCTCTGGGGTCTTTCTCTGAGGCCTATCACTGTCCCCGCCTGCAATGGGACACCATGCTATCCATAATGACACTGATTTCACTATGCCGTTTATCAGAAAAAAATACCGCAGGAGAAGCAGACCAGTGGAGGTTATACAGAAACACTGATGCAAATGAGTATGTTCTTTACGGCGATAGATAGGAGCGCTTTTCACATTTAAATGTTCTGTGACGTTAAAAAGCCAGATACTGTATCAACACACACCTTCTTTTATTTTCTATACAGCTTAGTAACATCTTGCGTTCCGACATCTAGCCTGTATTTAAAGTGTATTGCAACAAAAATGGAGCTGTACCTCCGCCACGTTTGTGAGCCTCGCTTGCTGTTGCAGAGGACCCGAAGAGCGCCGCCCTGCTGTACTCCTGGCAGACTGTGGGCGTCCTGGATTACGCCCCCGGCCGGAAGCTGTACCTGGTGCACAAGGCCGACCCTGGCGGCCGGGTGAGGGACAGCGAGGGGAGGCCCGTCCTCAACGGAGGCAAGTGCTGACCCCCCCCCCCACTGCTGTGCAGGACCAGGCTCCGGACCCTCCCCTCTCCTGCTTCGTCGGCGTGTTTGTTCCACACCAGGCCCTTCCGTTCACGTGGCTGCCCGCTGCCCACCTGCGCTGAGTCCTCTTTTGATTCAAACACCTTCCAAATCTCTTAAAAAGCCTACACTCAGTCAGCTGCATCCTACAAGGGTAACAGCTGTGATGCCCCTGCAGGAGCGGAGACAGGAGTTATTTTGGCTCCAGAGTCGATCGATCCTCTCGTTCATGTGGGAAAACGGGCGTGGAAAAAAAAAAAAGAAATCGATTTATTATTTTCTTTTCGGATGGGCATGGTTAGGAAAAATCATCATGAGATGAGAGTGAAAAAGCACAGCACGTTTCGCACTGGAACAGTGATTTTTATGGAAAGCGGGGCCTCCTTGTTTTCTGCGTATCATGTGAACCTCTCTTTCCCCCTGCGTGTCTCTCCCCCGCCCTGCAGGAGCTGGACTCCTGCTGCCCTGCCAGTACTGGGTGCCCAGGATCAGGCTGGCGTTCTGTGCCGAAGACCCGCGCACCTTCGCCCGCCGCGTGCTCACTGCCCAGCGGGCGCGGGAGAGGACAGAGGGGCTGCTGCTGTACCACCTGTCCATCGACTGCATGCCGGTGGAGGGGCAGCCCCCCATCAGCAGCAGCACCCTGGAGAAGATCAAGCGGTGGGCCCTGTCCACGCCCGGCCTGCGGAAGCAGCTGTAAGACAGCGCCGTCCTCTTTCCTGGGTCATTCCCTGTTTGCAGCTGCACCTCCCCTGCACCCCCTTGACGCCCCGTCTCCCTGCAGGCTGCGGGACTGCGCGGAGCGGCTGGAGAAGGAGATCGCGCTGGAGTTCGATCGCACCATGAACCGGATCTGCTTCGACAGGGTGGTGGCCTCCAACCCGCAGGACTTCTGCGACATCACTCTGCCCGAGCCGGAGAGGGAGGTGGTGCCGGACAGGGGTGAGGCCGGCTGGAGCCCGAGACAGGAGGGGGCACGGGGGAGGGTGCAAGCATGGGGTGGGCACGTGGCCTGTCCTGGTCAGGTCATGCTTTTCGAAGAGCCAAGCTATGGAGAGTCGTCCTGGAAGGACCTGGGCTCTTGCTGTGTGGTGTTAACTGCCCCTTCTCCATTATTGGAAATTAATAATTGTGTATTGTGTATTGATTGTGTATGATTGTCAGAATGTATGTTTATATATATATATGTTTTTAATTTTATGAATGTAGTTATAATAATGGGCAAGTAGGCCCATAGTGCATGGTCATCTGCAGTACCAGCACCAGAGCTACAATGCACTAGCCTGTAGGGTGCAAGAAATCTGAATGAATACTAGTGTTATTATATTTTGTGTAGAAGGGGGGAAAAAGTGTATCCTAATTCTGGAAAAAATATATATATTGTTCTTATTTTTTTGTAAAATTGATCACCTCAGCTCAGTCCAGTGATGTTGTACCAACACAGGTGAGATTAGGACAGTATGAACTGCACATGTTGCCCCCAGAAAAGCATGTTTCCTTCCTGAGTTATAGAGCTTGCAGAAGAGCTGGTACCACGGGTGCCCTGGGAATACTCCCTGATGTTCTCTGTTCCTTATCCAGCCCTGATGCTGCTGCTTGGGGAATCGTGGTTGTGGCTGTGACTGGCAGTGTCCGGACCACAGGCCACCACTCTAAATGAGCACTCACTGGCTCGTTTTGCAGTACCATATAGACGCCAACCTGAGGAGCACTGGGATTTAAGCCCTGACTAAACCTTTAAACTCTGCCTAGGCTTCGTGGAGGTCCCTGACTACCCGTTTGCCAAGCAGCAGAGAGCGTTTGCCTTCAACTCCCTGCTGACGAAGCCCGAGGTGATTGAGGCCCTGTCCAAGGTGCAGGCTGAGTGCAACAGGGTGGTGGCCATGCGCCTGTTCCACGTCAACCTGACCAAGACTGTCCGGCTGAAGGAGTTTGAGCTGACCCAGTCCCAGGTGTACTCTCAGGTACCGTTGCGGGGTGGGGTTACACCTGTTTTTACTGTCTGTTGTCGTGACACAGGGAAGCCCTGCCCAGAGCTGTTCGGCACCTGTCCTTTCCAGTGCTCTCACCTGCAGTGCAATAAAGCTGCACCTCACACTGCTGAATACTGTAGATCTGGCTAACTGTCAGTAAAATAATCAAGGAGTTGACTGAAGTGGTTGTGTCAGTAATGCACAGAGATACACCCATCCCTTTCCAAACCGCTTTATCCAGTTCAGGGTCGCAGGAGAGCTGGAGCCCATCCCAGCGATCAACAGGTGCAAGGACAGGACGCCAGGCCATCACAGGGCACAGAGACACACTCACACTCACACCAGGGCCAATTTTCCAAGAACTCAATCAACTTGCCGGCATGTCTTTGGACTGTGGGAGGAAACTGGATCACCTGGAATAATCCCACAGGAACACGGGGAGAACATACAAGCTCCACACAGACAGCACCCCAGGATTGAAACCCAGGGCCCCAGCACTGCGAGGCAGCGATGCTGACCTCTGAGCCGCTGTGCCGCCCACAGTGAATTTATGACCTCACGGTACTTCACGCTGTCTTGTGCTCAGTCAACCCCAGCAAACAGGTTGTCGGAGTGTCTGAGACGATAGATAGATAGATACTTTATTGATCCCGTGAGGGAAATTGCAGTGCAACAGCAGCTTAACACACACAACACAGCCACAGTGTAACGAATTATATACTAATAGTACAATACATACAATACAATACAATACAAGAGTTACTCACAGTCCGGACACACAAGAGGAAACTAGAACAGAACAGTACACAGAAAATCGTATCACACGTATGAATATAAATATAGATGTAACCATAGATATAAATATAAATATAAATGTATTGCACAGGTCCCTGGCATATATTGCACAAAAGTGGTTGTAAACGGGATAAGGACAGAGCTGTGTGTGGAAGTGTCCAGGTGTCTGTCCTCGCAGGTGCAGCTGTTCCTGAGGGACACCTGGGTGACCACGCTGTGCAACGCGGTGCGCGCCAGCCTGCGCGACGTGGGCAAGGGCTGGTTCAGCCTGGCCGAGCGGCGCTGGGAGGTGTACCGGCTCTCCAAGCTGTGCCGCCTGATGGAGCGCCTGCGCTTCCGCCTGCAGGACTCCCTGCGCTTCCTGGTGCAGGACTCGCTGGTCAGCTTCGCCCAGCTGCTGCTGGACGCCTGCCACAGCGTGCTGCCGTGCCCGGAGGACATGGCCTGGGGCGCTGACCTCGTCAACAGCCCCTACAAGTAGGGTCGTCATCCCTGTCCGCCTGCTGCTCTGCCCTCCTGTGTTACTTGTGCTTTGCTGCTTTTCCCTTCCTCCTGTGTGATGATAGTGATGATGAAGATTATTATTATTGCCGCACAACAGTTGGTGGAATTTGCTTGTGGCACTGCAAAATAAAACGAATAAAACAGATACAGTAGACACCACCTGCACTATCCAACGATTACAATTGGAAATCACAAGCAGAACACAGCCAGATACAGTGCATGCTGTACGTAAACATTCACCTTCAGCCAACAGAATTACAACACAGATGCTCAAGGGAGGCTAAACAGCTGAAAGGGGGAAAGTTCAAAGTTTGAGTGGCACTGGGAAAGAAGCTGAGGTTGCAGCAGATGCTCCTTGAGAGGATCGATTCGAAGTGTTTTCCCTGGAGGGGGAGCTGAAAAAGACTATGAGCAGGATGAGAGGGGTCTGAGATAATCTTGTCAGCATGCCTGGAGGTATGGCTTGTGTAAAAGGGTGAAATTTCAGGGTGTTCGCAGCCTGTTATTTTTCAGGTTCTGGCCACGAGTCTTTCCAGTCCTCCTTCCGAGTAGCTGGCCAGATTGCCAAGCAAAAAAAAACAGTGCCGGACGATCTGTAAAACTGAAAGAAGTTGCTGGTTTATTCTGCTTTTCTGAAGTTGCCCGAGATGGTCATTTACGATAACTCAGTGATGGTCTGATGACATCATGGTCATCGTTAATGATCCCGGGTGATTATTTTATTTCATCCAGAATTGCTATCTGCATTAATTTATCAAGAACAAATCTGGAATTGGTCCATCTTCCGTCAGCCCCCCAGGGATGACTCGGCGTGGCTAGAGTGCCCCCTGTAGGTAACAAGCGGTGGTGGACATAGGCTGCACGATGAGCACAAAAGCACCAAAGCTGTTTCCTTGATCCTGCTCACCCCAGGATGGGATCCCGGGAGGCCGGACTCGATTTGTTTGGGAAGCACCATTTTCCCAGGTTCTTGACCTCTGAGGTCAGCCTCCCACTGAGGAGCTCTAAGTACCCCCCACTATCACTTCTCCTGGATGGCCAAACCACATGTTAGCAGATACCAACACATACAGTCCTTTATCTCATGATGGTATCGATGGATGACTGTTAAAATACAGGCCATTTCACAGTAAAGGGTGCTCATTTTCTAATGGCAGGAAACTCCACTTCCATTATTTTCTCCAGACCAAGAAAGAAACCTCTGTTCCTCCTGGACCTCGTCCTGGATCAGTCCGGAGTCCACTACAGCACTCCTCTGGAGGACTTTGAGATGTCCGTCCTTAACCTGTTTGACAAGGGGATCCTGGCCACTCACAACGTGCCCCAGCTGGAGAAGGTCTGTGTCCCCTCTGTGCTGCCGCACTGCCCCACCGGCCGCGTGTCCCCCGAGGCTTGAGAGAGACGTCGGTGACAGCACTAACCCCCCCTTCCCCCTCTTCCTCCCCCTCCCAGTTTGTGCTGAAGGACCTGTTCATCAGCGGCACGCCCCTGCTGGAGTCCGTGGGGCTGTGGGAGCCTGCGGTGTCCGAGCTGCGGGAGAGCGTCCGCGCGGCGCTGCGCCAGGCGGCCGTGCCCCTGCGGGCCTACGCCCGCGAGTACGAGCGGCACCTCGAGCTGCACAACACCGACGTGGAGGCCTTCCTGCGGTACGACCTTTTCACTGGAGTCCCTACGAAAATCCTGTTTGCTATCATTTCGAAAAACAAAGATATTAAGATACTAGAAACACATGTGGGTAATAACGCTCAACCCCCCCAAAAAATGACACCACAGAACCCGAATAATCAGGTCCTGCATTTCAGTTAGGAAATAGTACTCGTATGTGCAGCATGGTGACACAGTGGTCAGCACTGCTGCCTCGCAGTGCTGGGGTCCTGGGTTCAGTTACAGACCCGGGGTGCTGTCTGTGTGGAGTTTGCGTGTTATCCCCTGGTTTGCATGGACTTCCTTCAGGTGCTCCTGTTTCCTAACGCCGTCTGAAGACTTACTGGTGGGTTGATTGGCTTCTGGTAATCTTGTACCTGGGTGAGTGTGAGTGTGCGTGTGAGCCCTGCAGTGGACTGGCGTCTTGCGCGCAGTGTAAGCTGCCTTGTGCCTGTTCGTTGCTGGAGGTCTCCACGACCCAGAATTTGAAGGAGTGGTTAGAAAATGGATGGTATTTGGATGTTTTGGCTCCCTTTTGTTTCATCAGAGCATTAAAACAGGTACGAAATAGAGTGTCCCACACTCCTGCCACCCTTTGTGTAAGGAAATGTCCCCTGTTCTTGGTTTCAAAATAGACTTCCCCATTTGAGCAGGTGACCTCAGAGATAGTGGTCCTCTCTGGTCCTCAGTGAGCTGCCGTTTCTTCTTGCTGTGCGCGTCGCTCTGCCTGATGCGTGCTTGTCCCCCCCTGCCTGCAGGGAGCACAGCCCGCCCAGCATGAGCCTGCAGGAGGTGAAACGGGAGGTGGAGCTGCACCTGCGGGAGAAGGAGCTCCTGGACCACTCGCTGCCCGTCTCCATCGTCATCGGGCCCTTCCTGGTCAGCGTGGAGGCCGTGCGCCAGAGCCTCTCCAAGAAGCGCAGGGCCCTGGCCAACGCTGTGCTGGACCAGCTGGCCAAGAAGCTGCGCAGGCAGGTGGACGAGGCGAGTACCTTGCTTGTGGACGAGGTGCGGGAACCCTGTCCCTTCTGCCCTGTCTACAGTGCTGATGTGACACCTGCCTTACCTCCTTCAGCTCAGACCACGGTCTGAGTGACGATGAAGGTCACACAGGCGTTGGGAGGACCGTGGTTCAGACTGGCAGCTCGGGGCCTCGGTTCTGCTCTTTCCTGCAGGACAGGCAAATGGCCGCTTTGTGTTTTCATGTGCAGATGAAATAAACAGCGAGGCGCCCAGGCGAGAGGCCAGCTCTGTTGCAAGACCCCTGGGGACCTTTCGCTCAGCTGGAGCCCGAGAACCTCAGGTGAACAGGTGTGCTGGCTTCTCATTGACGTGAGGCTGGGCCGTGCTGTGCTGTGTGTTCCAGGCCTGCGAGGAGTGCAGGGCCATCAGCAGGAAGCTGGGCGAGAAGGCCAACAGCATCGAGGAGCTGACGGACCACCGCGAGTGGATGAAGCAGATTCCTGAGCAGCTCAAGGCGCACGAGGTAGGTCTGCCTGTATCCACCCTTGGGGAGTCTCTTCATTTCCCCGCTTATAATGAATACAATCAGGTACTTTACTCTTCTTTACCACAGCACACCTGACACATTCCCTGCCCAGCTGCACCTTTGTCAATAAGCAACCCAGGTGCAGTTCAAGAGACCTTTACCCACAGTTAGGGCTTGCTTATGTCACCCCGGACTCCATTTCAGTGTAGTTTAAAAAGAGATCCTTATGCCCTGCATTCTTGTCCGCTTCCATTTCCCCACTTGAATACATCTGTGCTGCTGTTTCTCCTTTCTGTTCCTCAGGAGCTCATATCCAAAGCCATGGTCGACTACGAGCTCATCGACGAGTTCTTTTACAGTCTTTCCACTGACGACTTCAACGCCAAGTGAGTGCGGAACCGATCTTCCCGTCTTGCTTTTCACGCCTCACGTGCTGAACCACGAGTAGAACATTCCCAGAGGGGTAAATCAGAATGTGGTGCAGATCCTGCCAATCTTGCAAAGGGCAGGAAGGTTCCTGGAGTTGTTCAGAATAAATACTGTTTGTTCAAAGATCCCGATGCAGGGGCTTCAAAAGCCATGGCTGCACAGCTTGTTCCACACTCCCACCGCCCTTTGTGTAAAGACGGGCCTCCTGTCCTGAATGGAGGATCTCATTGAGGGGTTTCTTGAAATAAGCCTGGGTATCAGCTTCAACAATATAGCTGCGCAGCTTGTTTCACGCTCCCCCCATCCTTTGTGTAAAGAAGTGCCTCCTGTCCTGAATGGAGGATCTCATCTTCCTTGCAAGAAGCCAGGGTGGTTGGAGAGCCTGTTCTAGACTTGTTTCACACATAACCAAGCTAGCCAGTTCAGAGGTGCTAAGGAAGAATTAAAACACCGACCCGACCGGCTGCTTCTCTCGTAAGTGCGGGTAAAGATGGGGATTTGCGTTGCTCACGTGCAGGTGGACAGCGGTGGGCTGGCCCAGTAAGATCCTGACCCAGATGGAGTCCGTGGTGGTGCAGCACGAGGAGGAGGAGGAGCGCTTCCACAAAATCCAGCAGGTGGACCAGAACAGCTTCCAGGAGAGACTGGACACGCTGCAGGTGAGCCCGACTGCAGTGGACCCACAGCAGCTGCGCGCCTGAACTGCGGCGTCACACCTAACGCCCTTTACAAGCACAGCGTCTCAGTGTCTCCAGGCTCTGTGGAGCGCTCTCTACAGGAAGCACTATTTCAGTGCATGGTGACCACCTACCCAGCAGGGCTGCTGTGCATTGACACAGTTGGGCTGTAGTTCAGTACTGTAAGTCTTTCAGTATTATGTATGTTACCACACTCCTGCCCTCGCTAGAATCCCAAATCCTGGGGGGGCTGAACAAAGTATTTTGAATTGAGCTGACTTTCTGCTGACAGTGCACAATCATTCCTGAGTAAGGCTTGTCACCGACTGGGTGCCGCTGAGGTGTGGAAGGCCACACCCAGTCTCAGCGACAGGTGCACTCCCATACTCTGTGAGCAGAGCTCTGACGAGCCGCGGTGGCGTCTTCCTTGCAGATGGTGGTGGCGGGGTTCTTGGCCTACACGGACATGGGGCGGGCGCACGAAGTCGCCAACGAGGCCCGGCGCGTCAGCAAGCAGCTGAAGGAGTCGCAGCAGATGGCGCAGGTCTACAACAACAGGGAGCGTCTCTTTGGCATGCCTGTCACCAACGTGAGTCCCGCCAGTCCGCCGCCCTGCGGCCACCTACTGCCGCACGGTACAGAACCCCCACTGACAGGCCTCCCCAGACAATTCTCCCCTCGACATCATCCCATTTGCTGTTGCTGGCACGACGACAAGACTGCAGCGTCCTGGTTTTTAAATCTGTTGTCATCAGTGAAAGTAATTGACGTTAGATGCAGCAGGAAGCCTAGTTATAGATTGTGGGATATCAGGAGTTGCCATCATACAGTTTGGACTGTGGGAATGGCTATCTGAGTGCAGCCTCCTGCATGTCCTGTCTGCCCTGCGCAGTACGACAAGCTGCAGAAGCTGGTGAAGGACTTCCAGCCCTTCCAGGACCTGTGGGTCACGACCTCCGACTGGCTGCACTGCCACGAGGGCTGGCTGACCGACCCGCTGAACACTGTCGACGCTGAGCAGCTGGAGAAGAACGTCAACGAGGCCTTCAAGACCATGCACAAGTGTGTCAAGCAGTTCAAGGACGTCCCGGGTGAGTGTGGCCACAGCTCCCACAGACAGCAGCCTTTCTCCACAGCTGCCTACAGCTCCCACAGACAGCAGCCTTTCTCCACAGCTCCCTACAGCTCCCACAGACTGCTGCCTTTCTCCACAGCTCCCTACAGCTCCCACAGACTGCTGCCTTTCT